CTGAGGTGGGTAAAATGAGGACCCAGATTGTTGGGGGTAATAAGCTGACTCTTTAAACCACTTAGAGAGGGCTGTAAAAGCACTATGAAGCAGTATATAAGTCGAAGTGCTATTGCTATTGTCACTAAAGTGATTCTCTATCATCTTCCTATATCGCTTCATACAGGTGCTTCTATGCTTTAGCTAGGCACCTGGGATAACCTTTAGGGCTTGGGTGATCCTATTGGAAATATATACACTTCACAGATTCCCAATATTCCTTATTTATCTGTCCCAGAAGTTTCGCGCCATGATGAAGCAGCATAGCAAGACTTTTGAGGCAGGTTTGGTGGACTAAGTATCACTATCAGAAGACCTGAAAGATGAGGGTCAGATCATCATAGAGAAAGTCTATGTGGTCACTAAGAATTGATAATGACTTGATGACTTAATGACTTAATCATTTATAAGTATTAAATCTATATTTTGATGTTAGTTTATGGAGAGCTAGTTGAATCTATACATATAAAAATGCTCTCTGTGTGTGTCTGTCTATCTCTCTGTCTCTCTGTGTGTGTGTATCAGCATAACTCTGGAACACCTCAAACAATTTCAAGGAAACTTGGTACACAGATGACTTACTCTCTGGAGAAAAATACGGGTGGGGGGGAAGACACCTCTAAAACCCCTCGGTGTTTGTGTGTGTCCTGGCACGGAGATGGTACACAGAGCCCAGTTTAGCTCCACCGCACATGCGCGCGTGCCTCCCGGCAGCAGGTGATCTGCCACGCATGGACGGGGGAAGCATGGGGGTGCAGCATAACCCCCCCCCCACGGCCTGTTTTTGCTCCCAGGAGGCTGCAGGGAGGCCTACTTGGCCCAAAATGGGGCGCAGAGGGGTGCGTGCATGGGGGAGGGGAGTGGGGATTGTGTCTGTGTGTGTCTGTGTGTGTCATGCGACACTATAGATATCATTCATTCCTTTTCCTGTCTAATAGAGGATTAGGAAAAATAAATACCCACGGCAACGCCGGGTTATCAGCTAGTGTAAATATAAATAATGAATTTGATGTTGGTTACCATGATATTACATGAATGTTGATGTAAACATATATAGCCTGCTCCTTAAATCCAATTCTCTATCAAGAAAAATGAGATTGTGTGTATTTGTGATCCAGAGAATTGGCATTGTTGCTTTAAGGAGTTGCAGATAAATCCGCCATTTCTACCCCCACCCTCCAGTGCTCTGAATTATATGAAGGAATGCACAGACATGTACGCCTTCTTTCTCTGCCTTTTTTCTGTCATTGTCCAATGTTCGTTACCCACACAGATACACTGAAGATTCTATTGGCCTTTTCTTATGTTTCTAATAAAAATGAAACAAAACCATTTTTCTTAGGGGAAAACGACCAACCAAGTGACAAAATGGGGAAAGTGCACAGGGCAAGGCTTCTGAAATTCTTTCCAATCTATTTGCCAGGAATGAGCATGGGAGGCATCTATTTTTCCTGCACAACTAGATAAATGTATTTCTACTTCTACCTTCAGTTTATATTGCTTTGCATTGGGAGTACGTGCATATGTCTATCTGCAGGTGTGCATTAGAAAGCATAGGGCTGGTTGCAGATGCTCCACTTTAGTCATAGGATGAGGAGAGGTTTAAAATGGAGCAGCTGGAAGCGTTTTGAGCTGCTTATCCAAATTGCCACTCCCATAGAACTGCACTTGGGAAATTCTTCCTGGTGTGTTTTTCTCTGCAGCCCTCAGCCTGATCCAGACTAATTTTTTTTTTTACCTCAATCTTTCTTCCGTCTTCCAAATCTCAATCTTACACCAAAGCTGGTGTCATTTCATTCTGGTTTGAGAAAGTTATCCTGATGTACTTTACATAATTTCTACTCGCCTTCTGTTGCTTTGGAAAGAATAAACACCGCAATTCGGTAGCCAAAGACAGACGCAGGTAAAGGGCATAATAAAATCTGTAAATTTACTCGGCGCTAAATTTGATTTAGATAACAGGATGTTCTAAACTGGCAGGAATAGCCAACACTCCAGAAGACAGGCTTAAGATACAGAAGGATCTTGACAAACTTGAACTTTGGGCACTATCTAATAAAATGAAATT